CCAACCTCCCACCCCCCCCAAATTTTGGGGTGCTCCCCCCAGCCCCTCCCCAGTTTGGGGGTCCCCCCTCACCGTCCACCACGTCGGCTTTCTCCACGTCCCCCCGGCTCCGGGGGTCCCCGCTGGGGGAGCCCCCCCCGTCCACGATCGTCACCTGGGGGGGCACCGGGATTTGGGGGGGCTCAGGCCATTTTGGGGGGTCCCAAATCCCTTTTTGGGGGTCCCAGATCCCATTTGGGGGGTCCCAGATCCCTTTTTGGGGGTCCCAGATCCCATTTGGGGGGGCTCAGCCCTTCTTGGGGGGTCCCAAATCCCTTTTGGGGGGTCCCAAACCCTTTTTGGGGGGCCCAGATCCCTTCTTGGGGGGTCCCAAAACCCTTTTTTGGGGGGCTCAGCCCATTTTGGGGGTCCCAAATCCCATTTGGGGGGTCCCAGATCCCTTTTTGGGGGGCTCAGCCCTTTTTGGGGGGCCCAGATCCCTTTCAGGGTCCCAGATCCCTTTTTGGGGGTCCCAAATCCCATTTGGGGGGTCCCAGACCCTGTTTGGGGGGCCAAATCCCTTTTTTGGGGGTCCCAAATCCCTTTCGGGGGTCCCAGGTCCCACTTTGGGGGTCCAAATCCCTTTTTGGGGGGTCCCAAAACCCATTTGGGGGGTCCCAAATCCCTTTTTGGGGGGTCCCAAACCCATTTGGGGGGTCCCAAACCCATCTGGGGGGCTCAGCCCTTTTTGGGGGGCCCAGATCCCATTTTGGGGGGTCCCAGATCCCATTTTGGGGGGTCCCAAATCCCTTTTGGGGGTCCCAAATCCCATTTGGGGGTCCCAAACCCCTTTTTGGGGGGCTCAGCCCTTTTTGGGGGGCCCAGATCCATTTTTGGGGGGTCCCAAATCCCTTTTTGGGGGTCCCAGATCCCTTTTTGGGGGTCCCAGATCCCTTTTTGGGGGGCTCAGCCCTTTTTGGGGGGTCCCAGATTCCATTTGGGGCGTCCCAAATCCCTTTTTGGGGGTCCCAGATCCCATTTTGGGGGGTCCCAAGCCCTTTTTGGGGGGTCCCAAATCCTTTTCTGGGGGGTCCCAGATCCCTTTCTGGGGGGTCCCAGATCCCATTTTGGGGGGCCAAATCCCTTTTTTGGGGGTCCCTGATCAATTTTGGGGGTCCCAAATCCCTTTTTGGGGGGTCCCAAGCCCTTTTTGGGGGGCTCAGCCCTTTTTGGGGGGTCCCAAAACCCATTTGGGGGGTCCCAGATCCAATTTTGGGGGTCCAAATCCCATTTTGGGGGTCTCAAACCCCTTTTTTGGGGTCCCAAATCCCTTTTAGGTTCCCAAATCCCTTTTTGGGGGTCCCAGACCCTTTTTGGGGGTCCCTGATCATTTTTGGGGTCCCAAATCCCTTTTAGGGGGGTCCCAAATCCCTTTTTTGGGGGGTCCCAGACAGCCCAGCTCTGCCCAACCCCAGTTTTGGGGTGAATTCTCCCACTTTAGGGGATTTTTGGGGTTTCCAGGTCCCAGATTTTGGGGATTTTGGGGTTTCCAGGTCCCAGATTTTGGGATTTTGGGGTTTTCAGGGTCCCAGATTTTGGGGATTTTTGTGATTTTGGTATTTTTGGGGTGTTTTTGGTGTTTTTGGGGTCGCTGACCTGCTGGCACTGCCCGTAGAGACCCAACCCCAGTTTTGGGGTGAATTCTCCCACTTTAGGAGATTTTTGGGGTTTCCAGGTCCCAGATTTTTGGGATTTGGGGTTTTCAATGTCCCAGATTTTGGGGATTTTTGTGATTTTGGGTTTTTTGGGGTGTTTTTGGGGTTTTTGGGGTCGCTGACCTGCTGGCACTGCCCGTAGAGGTCCAACAGCTGCACCCAACCCCAGTTTTGGGGTGAATTCCTCCACTTTAGGGGATTTTGGGGTTTCCAGGTCCCAGATTTTGGGGATTTTGGGGTTTTCAAGGTCCCAGATTTTGGGGATTTGGTCCCAGATTTTGGGGATTTTGGGGTTTTCAAGGTCCCAGATTTTGGGGATTTGGGGTTTCCAGGTCCCAGATTTTTGGGATTTTGGGGTTTTCAAGGTCCCAGATTTTGGGATTTTGGGGTTTTCCAGGTCCCAGATTTTGGGGATTTTTGTGATTTTGGGGTTTTTGGGGTGTTTTTGGGGATTTTGGGGTCCCTGAGCTGCTGGCACTGCCCGTAGAGCTCCAGCACCTGCACCCAGCCCCAGTTTTGGGGTGAATTCCTCCACTTCAGAGGATTTTGGGGTTTCCAGGTCCCAGATTTTGGGGATTTGGGGTTTCCAGGTCCCAGATTTTGGGGATTTTGGGGTTTTCAAGGTCCCAGATTTTAGGGATTTTTGTGATTTTGGTGTTTTTGGGGTGTTTTTGGGGTTTTTGGGGTCGCTGACCTGCTGGCACTGCCCACAGAGGTCCAACACCTGCACCCAACCCCAGTTTTGGGGTGAATTCTCCCACTTTAGGGGATTTTGGGGTTTCTGGGGTTTTTTTGGGGTTTCCAGGTCCCAGATTTTTGGGATTTTGAGGTTTTCAGGGTCCCAGATTTTGGGGATTTTTGTGATTTTGGTGTTTTTGGGGTGTTTTTGGTGACTTTGGGGTCCCTGAGCTGCTGGCACTGCCCGTGGAGCTCCAGCACCTGCACCCAACCCCAGTTTTGGGGTGAATTCTCCCACTTTAGGGGATTTTTGGGGTTTTCAAGGTCCCAGATTTTGGGGATTTTTGTGATTTTGGGTTTTTTGGGGTGTTTTTGGGGTTTTTGGGGTCCCTGACCTGCTGGCACTGCCCGTAGAGCTCCAGCACCTGCACCCAACCCCAGTTTTGGGGTGAATTCTCCCACTTTAGGGGATTTTGGGGTTTCCAGGTCCCAGATTTTGGGGATTTTGGGGTTTCCAGGTCCCAGATTTTGGGGATTTTGGGGTTTCCAGGTCCCAGATTTTTGGGATTTTGGGGTTTTCAAGGTCCCAGATTTTGGGGATTTTTGTGATTTTGGTGTTTTTGGGGTGTTTTTGGGGATTTTGGGGTCCCTGAGCTGCTGGCCCTGCCCATAGAGCTCCAGCACCTGCACCCAACCCCAGTTTTGGGGTGAATTCTTCCACTTTAGGGGATTTTGGGGTTTCCAGGTCCCAGATTTTTGGGATTTTGGGGTTTTCAAGGTCCCAGATTTTGGGGATTTTGGGGTTTCCAGGTCCCAGATTTTGGGGATTTTTGTGATTTGGGGATTTTGGGGTGTTTTTTGGGGATTTTGGGGTTGCTGACCTGCTGGCACTGCCCGTAGAGACCCAACAGCTGCACCCAACCCCAGTTTTGGGGTGAATTCTCCCACTTTAGGGGATTTTGGGGTTTCCAGGTCCCAGATTTTTGGGATTTTGGGGTTTCCAGGTCCCAGATTTTTGGGATTTTGGGCTTTTCAAGGTCCCAGATTTTTGGGATTTTGGGCTTTTCAAGGTCCCAGATTTTGGGGATTTTTGTGATTTTGGGGATTTTGGGGTGTTTTTTGGGGATTTTGGGGTCGCTGACCTGCTGGCACTGCCCGTAGAGACCCAACCCCAGTTTTGGGGTGAATTCTTCCACTTCAGGGGATTTTTGGGGTTTCCAGGTCCCAGATTTTGGGGATTTTGGGGTTTCCAGGTCCCAGATTTAGGGGATTTGGGGGGTTTCAAGGTCCCAGATTTTGGGGATTTTGGGGTTTCCAGGTCCCAGATTTAGGGGATTTGGGGGGTTTCAAGGTCCCAGATTTTGGGGATTTGGGGTTTCCAGGTCCCAGATTTTTGGGATTTTGGGGTTTTAAGGTCCCAGATTTTTGTGATTTTGGGGTTTTCAAGGTCCCAGATTTTGGGATTTTGGGGTTTTCAGGGTCCCAGATTTTTGGGATTTTTGTGATTTTGGGGTTTTTGGGGTGTTTTTGGTGACTTTGGGGTCCCTGAGCTGCTGGCTCTGCCCATAGAGCTCCAACACCCACACCCAACCCCAGTTTTGGGGTGAATTCTTCCAGTTTTTGGGATTTTGGGGTTTCCAGGTCCCAGATTTTGGGGATTTTGGGGTTTTCAAGGTCCCAGATTTTGGGGATTTTTGTGATTTTGGTGTTTTTGGGGTGTTTTTGGGGTTTTTGGGGTCCCTGACCTGCTGGCACTGCCCGTAGAGACCCAACAGCTGCACCCAACACCAGTTTTTGGGGTGAATTCCTCCACTTTAGGGGATTTTGGGGTTTCCAGGTCCCCAATTTTGGGGATTTTGGGGTTTTCAAGGTCCCAGATTTTTGGGATTTTGGGTTTTCAATGTCCCAGATTTTGGGGATTTTTGTGATTTTGGTGTTTTTGGGGTGTTTTTGGGGATTTTGGGGTCGCTGACCTGCTGGCACTGCCCGTGGAGCCCCAACACCTGCACCCAACCCCAGTTTTGGGGTGAATTCCTCCACTTTAGGGGATTTTGGGGTTTCCAGGTCCCAGACTTTTGGGATTTTGGGGTTTTCAGGTCCCAGATTTTTGGGATTTTGGGCTTTTCAAGGTCCCAGATTTTGGGGATTTGGGGTTTTCAAGGTCCCAGATTTTTGGGATTTTGGGGTTTTCAGGGTCCCAGATTTTGGGGATTTTTGTGATTTTGGGGTTTTTGGGGTGTTTTTGGGGTTTTTGGGGTCCCTGACCTGCTGGCACTGCCCATAGAGCTCCAACACCCACACCCAACCCCAGTTTTGGGGTGAATTCTCCCACTTTAGGGGATTTTTGGGGTTTTCAAGGTCCCAGATTTTTGGGATTTTTGTGATTTTGGTGTTTTTGGGGTGTTTTTGGTGTTTTTGGGGTCGCTGACCTGCTGGCACTGCCCGTAGAGACCCAACAGCTGCACCCAACCCCAGTTTTGGGGTGAATTCTCCCACTTTAGGGGATTTTTGGGGTTTCCAGGTCCCAGATTTTGGGGATTTTGGGGTTTCCAGGTCCCAGATTTTTGGGATTTTGGGGTTTTAAGGTCCCAGATTTTGGGGATTTTGGGCTTTTCAAGGTCCCAGATTTTGGGGATTTTGGGGTTTTCAAGGTCCCAGATTTTGGGGATTTTTGTGATTTTGGGTTTTTTGGGGTGTTTTCTGGGGTTTTTGGGGTCCCTGACCTGCTGGCACTGCCCGTAGAGGTCCAGCAGGACGTAGCAGGGGCTGGGCACCCCCCCGGCCACGGCGCCCTGGTCGCGGCCGTTGATGAAGAGGTGAAGCCGCGCGGAGCCGTCCACGAGGAGCCCCAAAACCGTCCCCGCGGGGAGCAGCTCCAGGCTGGGACCCGGGAGATCACGGATCTGGGGAGAAAAACCAGAAATTTGGGGTTCTGGGGAAAAATTTGGGGGTTTTGGGGCGAAAATTGGGAGTTTTGGGGCAAAAATGCGGATTTTTTGGGATTTTTGGAGGGGTTTTGGGGAGCTCAGAGCCCCAGAATCATCAGCAGCTCCAGGCTGGGAGCAGGGAGATCACGGATCTGGGGAGAAAAATGGGAAATTTGGGGGTCTGGGGGAAAAATTGGGAGTTTTGGGGCAAAAATTGGGGG